TTCCCCTCCCTCTCCCCATCGCTGGATACTGTTGGTGTGGGTGAACCGCTTATATGTTCTCCATTCCTGTATTTTGCTTTTTCCAGAATGTCATATAAATGGAATCATATGGAAGTAGCCTTTTGTGTCTGGCTTTCACTTAACATAATACTTTTAAGATTTATCCATTTTGTTGCATGTACCAGTAGTTTATTCCTTTTTATTGCTGAGTACTTTTCTACTGCATGGCTACACTACAGTTTGTTTTTCCATTTGCCAGATGATAGACATTTGGGTTGTTTCCAGCTTTTGGCTTTTGTGGATACAGTTCCTGTAAACATTCGTGTCCACGTCTTGGGTGGACATGCTTTCATTTCTCTAGGGTAGGTACCTAGAGTGGGATGGCTGGGTTGTATGGTAGATGTGTGTTTAACTTTAAGCAACTGTCAAACTATTTCTGAAAGTGGCCATCCCATCTTGCATTTCCACCAGCAACGTATGAGATGTCTTGTTGCATCACATTCTTGTTTGTACTTAGTATTGTCAGTCTTTTTAATTTTAGCTGTTCTAGTAGGTGCCTAGTGATATCTCATTGTGGTTTTGATTTGTGTTTCCCTGATGACTAATGATGTTGAACAATTCTTAAGTACTTATTTGCCCTCCACATGCCTTCTTTGATGAAGTGTTCACTTTTTTGGACTAATTTTTCATTGGGTTGTTTATCTTCTTAGTGTTGAGTTTTGAGAGTTCTTTATATATTCTAGATATAAGTCCTTTATCAGATAATGTGTTTTGCAAATATTTTCTCATTGACTGTGGCTTGTCTTTTCATTTTCTTAACAGTGTCCTTTGAAGAAGAGCATTTATAGTTTTAGCTTTTCTGTTTTGGTTATGATCTATTTTGAGTTAATTTTTATGTAGGTAGGAGTGTCTGTGTTGGGTTTTGTTTTGCCTGTGGAGGCCCAGTTGCTCCTCTGTGGGAAAGCCCATCCTTCCTCTGTGGAATTACCTTGGCACCTTTGGGTGTTTCTTAAATATATTCTGTTCCTTTGATCTAAATATCTATCCTTTTGCAGATACCACAGTCCTGGTTACTGTAGTTTTATAGTAACTCTTGAAAACAGTGTGAGTTCTCCAACTTTTTTATTCATTTAAAAACTTGTCTTGGCTGTTCTAGGTCCTTTGTATTACTATATAAATTTTAGAATCAGCTTATCAATTTCTGCAAAAAGCATGGTTGGAATTTGATTGGGATTGCATCGTATCTGTGAATTTTAACAATATTGAATCTTCTGATTCATGAACATTCACACATTTTCATTTATTTCGATCTTTTTTTTAAAATAATTTTTTTTGTTGTTTCCCTTTTCTTTTCGTTGAGTAAGATTGGCCCTGCGCTAACAACAGGTGCCAATCTTCCTCTTTTTGCTGAGGAAGATTGGCCCTGAGCTAACATCTGTTGCCAACGTTCCTCTATTTTGTATGTGAGCTACCACCACAGCATGGCTGCTGACAAGTGGTGTAGGTCCGCGACTGGGAACCAAACCCGGGCCACCGAAGTGGAGCACACGGAACTTAACCACTAGGCCATGGGGCCGCCCCCTACATAGATTTTATTTTACTTAATCTTATCAGCGACACTGCAAGGACACTGAGTCTTAGAGGGTTAAACAGCTTGTCTGAGGTCCTGCAGCTCAGACGCATCAGGGCCACAGCAGAGGAGGGACAAGACCCAAGCCAGAGCCCTGTGTCCCCCTGCCATGCACAGAGCACTCTCTGTGTGCCAGGCTCCAGGCCAGGACTTCTATGAACGTCTTCCCACTTGATCGCTGGAGGAGAGCCAAGCTAGTACTGTGGTGAGCCGTTCTACCGTGCGTGGCTCGGCCAGCTCGCTGAGGGGGAGACTCGGTGGTGAGAGCCACATGCTTGTACGGGGGAAGCTGCAGTGCTGGGCTGCGGCCCCCTGGGGGAGGGCCACGAAGCGGGGTGCAGACCCGGTGTGGATCGGGGCTCTGCCACTCGCCGGACCTCTCTGAGCCTCAGTTCTTCATCTGTACAGACTCTGTTCTGTGACCCTGTGAAATGTAAATCTAGTTGTATCATTTTCCTAAATAAAATGACTTTATTGTCATAGTTACTTGGCGCTGCTCCACTGTGGTCCGCCGGCAGTGCTGGCGAGAGACGAGAGAACACAGAAGCTGGGTGTGAGCAGCGGGAAGCGGTGGTGGCCGTTTGACGTGGACGCAGCACCCACGCATGTGATCGGGTCTCATATCTTACAGCAGTGTCAGTCCAGGATCACCTGGAGATTCAACAAAGAAAACAACGGGTCCTTCTCCATGGACGGTTTGTGAACCCGGCTCTGACGGACTCCCGTGGACCTAGAGTGAGGTCGTGTCTCCCCACCACGGCCTGCGAGGCCACGGGACCTGGCCCTGCCCTGCACTTCACTCTTCCTTCCTTTCACCCTGTTCTCTGCACCCTGGCCACGCGGATGGACACCAGAGCGTGTTCCTGCCACAGGACGTTCGTCCGTGTGGGGCCTTCCCCCAGACCTCTGGTCACTGGGCGTTGCCGTGTCCTGAGGTCCAGTCGCAGGCGTCCTTCTCAGAGAAGCCTCTCTCCACCTGTCACAGCTCCTTGTTTCGTGACCTCAGAGCCCTTCTTCCGCCTGAAATTGCTTGTCTGTGTGTTGTCTCCTCCCCCAGAACGTGGTTCCACCAGGGCTCCTCTCCGGTTCCTAGACCCGCAGCTATCGCAGTGGAGCTCAGTACTGGTTCAATAACTGGGTGAATGAGGAGGATACTGCCCACTGCGTACGTTGTGTGAGGCTTAAATAAGGTGATGGGTGATGAGTGCCCATGGTAGGTCTCCTGGAAACATTAGCCCCAGGCCGTTCCTGCCTCCACACAGCAACACGCACCCATGCCAAGGCTGCCAGCCCTGGCCTCCAGTGCCCCTTCTCCTGGTGTGGTACCTGGAGAGGCCCTCGCTCTCGCCGGGTGGACAGTGCAGGTAATCAGCTCGACCTCCGTCGCTCCAGCTGGGGCACCGTGACTTGAGCCTCACTAAGCTGTTTGTGAACCTGATGGCATCCTGTTCTTTTATCTTGGGGGTCTTTCTGAGAAGACGGCCAGCAGGTCCTTTGCTTAGGATCCTTCGTCTGCTGGGGAAGATCACTCAGGAGAAGGATGTTTGGGGAGCCCAGAACTGGGCCAGAGAGAGGCACAGGGGCAGCTGATGGCCAGTAGGTCACTGTGGGGCCGCCCTGCCACCTTGGCCATGAGGTCTTCAGAATCGGAGCACCCTCTCCCTTGGGCGGGCTGGCCGCAGCAGACCCGTTCCTTCTGTTCATAGGTTTGTTTGGTCACCCGCGCAGTATTCACTGAGACGTGGTTCCTGACCTCAAGGAGTTTCCCTTCTGGAGGGCAGAGAGGTGCGAAACAAGTGACTGTCCAGGTGCGTGGCTACAGCTGTAGCCACTGCTAGGAAGGACGGGGGGCGGAGGGAGGACGAGGAGCTTGTGCGGCTGGGAGAAGGGGTGTGTGCGCGTGTCTGCGCGGGAAGGTGCAGGGGCGGGAGGTGTTCCAGTCAGAGGAGATGGCCCGCGGGAAGCTGCTGTGGCCGGAGAAAGCACAGCACAGTCAGGACAGCAGGCGGCACTTAAGTGGGACAAAGAGAACGACAGGAAAGGTGGGGGCTGGAACGGCAGGCAGGGCCGCGTCAGCCTCCCTAGCTGACCCGCCCTCCGCCTCGGTTAAGGAGATGTCCTAGGGCTCTTGTGGGGCTTAGCACGGTGCCCTTTCCTCCAGAAAGAAGCCGTCCATAGCCGTCGTGGTCTCACCCTCCGATTTCACACGTGGGGAGATGGGGGCCGGTGGAGGGCAGGGACGTGCCCTAGGTCGCAGTGGGCCGCATGGAACTCCCTCTGAGGCGTGGGGCCCACACCTGGCTGGGCTGTGGCTTCCAACTGTTCTCCACTAGAGAACCAGGGGGAGCTTCTGAAGAAAGCACATCGGATCCCTGCACTGCTTAAAACCCGTCTCTGGTTACACTGCATAGTCCTAACAGGGTCTGTGGGGTAAAAGTGCGTGCTTGCAAACAGCAGAAGTTGAGAAAGATGTTGGAGGGACATCAGGGTGGGCCAGGGGGCGCTGGAGCTCCCTGCTGCGGGGCTGGCAGGGAGGGGGCCGCTTGTCTCTGTTCTGTGGCTCCCTCACGCTGCCAGAGCCCGGGGGTGGGCTCGGGGCCTCCTGCCCACTGCGTGGCTGCAGTGGGGTGGTGAGGGGTAGGAGGGCCTGGGGGGAGCAGCCAGGAGCCGTTTCAGCCTCTGTTGCAGGAGGGCACCCCCTGGACCACGCCCCACAGGGAAAGGGGAGGATGGACAGCCCGTCAGCAGCGGGAGGCCCTGTGTGTGGCCCCTGTGCCCTCACGCCCCCTAGGTCACTCCCTTTCTGTCGGCTCCCCAGCCACGCCTGCCCCTCTCTGCCGTAGCACCTCACACACACTGTCTGCCTGAGAGGCTGTCCCTACCCCCTTGTTGAGTCAGTTGACAAGTGGCTTCCTGAAGAAAGCCCTCCTTGGCTCACCGGGGGTAGGATGGACCGGCCGGGTCAAGGCCCTGCAGGCTGATTCTTGGTAGCAGTTTTCCAAGGGTCATGTAACAGCTCGTTTCAGTGCCCCTTGAGCTCTGCCCCCTTTCCTCTGTCCTGAGAGCCTGACAGTGCGTGCACACGGTGGGAGCCCGCGGGGCATTCGTGAGTGCTGGACGGATGAGAGGCTGGCACGTCCAAGTGGTGCTGGGCAGGACTGGAGTGGGGAGGGGCCGCCTGCTGGAGCCAGGATTCTGTTGCCTTCTAGCTGCAGGGATGTGGACAAGTCGCGCGTCTCCCTGAGCGTCGGTTTCCTTGGCTGTCACTGGGATAGTCACGTCTCCCTCTGGGCGGGCACCCTTCTTCCTGGGGAGAGCCTGGCTGTGCCTGGGCCTGACGGCACTTTCTCCCCACCTGTCCACGCTGCAGTACGCCTGGGTGGAGAAGCACTTCGGCCCTGACTTCCTGGAGCAGATTGTGCTGACCAGAGACAAGACCGTGGTCTCTGCCGACCTTCTCATAGACGACCGGCCGGACGTCACAGGCAAGTGGCCGGCGGGTGAGGAGCGTGCGGGGCGCTAAGCGCTCGGATGAATGGCTTGTGGGCCGGGCCTCAGTCCCCACTCCTAAGGGGCCCCAGCCTTGAGCCGGCAGTGAGTCTCTTCCTGTTGGGAAGACAGAGTTCTCAGCGTCCGGCCCCAGAAGGGGCACTGCTGGGGGTCGGGAGAAGCAGGTCCCAGTCGGGGGTAACTTGCCAGTGGCCTTGGGTGAGTCACTTTACACCTGGAAGCCGTGCCTTCCTCATGGTAAATGAGGGCCCAATTCTGGCTTCCACACATCTGTTTTTAGCAGCAGAACCCTTTTCTTTCTAAAAGCAATTTGAACTGAACCTAATATATAAAACAGAAAAGCAAAGCATACTCTTTCTAGTTGAAGGTGTTTTGAGGGCTGTATTTATTCCTTTTGCTTGTGATGTCCCTTCCCAAAAAAAGAAAGAAAGAAACAAATCTTGGACTGACTTAAAAAGGAGAGGGGAAGTTTATTGTTGCACCTAATGGAAAAGGTGGGCAGGAGGGCTTCAGGCACGGCTGAATCTAGGAGTTCAAACAATATCAGTGAAACTTCAGTTTCTTTAACTCCTGGCTCTGCTCTGCCTTCGTCCTCAGGCAGGCTCTCTCCTCCTGGTAGATGTCAGTGGGGTTTCAGGGTTAAATCCTGTTCTTTTGGACACCTCAGTGGGAAAATATGGAATATTTCTTTCCTAATGGCTTTTAGAGCTGGCTTGGGAAACATGCCCATCTCTACCCTAGGCATTGTGTCCAGAGGGTAGAGTCCGCGGCTTTGCCCACCCCTGACCTCCCAAACCACGCAGTCTCCCAAGGAGAGTCAGAGCACGGCACCAGCAAGGGCTGTGACCTCGAGGGGCCCAGAGCTTCCATCTCGGACGCTGGGGAGCAGGACAGAGGCCTGTGCAGGAGGCGCCGGGGGCCAGGCTGTCACCCGGGGGGCGGGGTCACCGTGCTCAGTGCCAGTGGACATGTGGATGTGAGGGGTTGAAGCTTGGGGGGTCTCGCGGGGCCCGTGGTCGACAGCTGTGAGCTGCGAAGCTGGCCAGTGCAGGACGGCTGGGCGTGGGGGAGGGGAAGGGCAGGGCGCCAGCAAGGCTCGGCCTCCGCCAGTGACCGCGGCGACGCTGACCGTGGCGACGCTGACCGCCGTGGTCACTGTCGGCCGAGCACAGCCGTGTGCCGGGCCGAGGGGCCCGTGCAGGCGTCTCCCTAATCCTCGTGCCCCCCACCCCCGTGAGACGGGCAGTGCAGTCACCACTTCACCCACGGGGAGGCCGAGTCTGAGGGGCGAGCTGCGTGCCTGAGGACACCGGGGCGTCGGTCCCAGGCGGCCGCTCCGGGTCTCCTGGCGCTGGACTCACGCTGCGTTCCCGCCCACAGGGGCGGAGCCGAACCCCAGCTGGGAGCACGTCCTCTTCACCGCCTGCCACAACCGGCACGTGCAGCTGCAGCCCCCCCGCCGCAGGCTGCTCTCGTGGGCGGACGACTGGAAGGCCATTCTGGACAGCAAGCGGCCCCGCTGAGCTGGACTGTGCTTCGGGCTCCTCTGCGGGCCCCTGACCTCAGGGCTCCCAGCTCAGGGCCTGGGGGGCTGGTGCTCTGGCCGGGGGCTCCCTCTCAGCCGCCCCCGGCCCCCTGCACGGCTCCTCTCCTTCCCCAGCCCTGCCAGGCCTTAACCCATCTCGGGCAGGGCGGGCCCGGGCCAGACGCGTGCGGCCACGCAGTGCAGGCCGACCTCCCGGGGCCAGGCGCTCCCGACGGGAGGAGCCGAGGGCATTATTCAGAGGGCCAGCAGTCCGCCCCTCCCTCAGGGACAGCCCCCCTTCCCCGGCTGGCGGCCCATCAGCAAGGGGAACAGCAGGAGCAGGTGGGGATGAGCCCTTGCTCCCTGCCCGCCAGTCCAGTGTCCCCAGCGACCTGCCGCGGATTCAGCCAACACAGGCCGCGTTCCGGGGCACGCCGGGCTCTGTGCTGGGGCGCACACGGCCCAGCCTTTGACCAGCTCAGGGGTTTCTCGTGCCTCGCTCAGGGCCCAGCAGAGAGTCAGCAGGCTTGGACATGTGTTGAAGGCATGAAAAATAAATGCTGTTTCTGCGTCGCCCAAGGCTGCGGCCTCCTCGAGCCCCTGCCCCAAGGTCCTCCAGTGTCTGGCCCGGGCACCCAGCCGCACATCTTGCAGGTACCTGGGTCGTCCCCCTGCACTGATGAGAGGGGCTGAGGAGGTGCAGCTTCACTGTTCACTCCACTGTGGGTGCTGCCTGGGAACCCCAGAGGGACGGGGCCCTGATGGTGGCAGAGCTGGAGGCCATGGTGGTCCCCTCGGTCCACGCCCCACACCCTGCGCTGACTGGTGAGGTTTCCCTCAAGTACCCCTTCCCATGCCTGCCCCCAGGCTCCAGCCCTCCCTGGTCCCCCAGCCTCTGCCCCTCTCCCGGGGCCAGGTTCCTGTAGGGTCCCAGGAGCCGTGTGGCGGGAGCACGCTGGTGTGCCTGCTTTTGTCCCTCTCCACCCACTGGGAAGTGGCAGCTTGAACAGCCACCCCCAGCTTTCTTGCTCGAAGGCTGCGGGGCCTGTTCTCTTCCACTTCCTGCCCCTGCTGCCTCCCCATCACTGCCCTCGCAGGGAACCCTACTGTCCACCTTGGGGTCCTGGCAGGCTGTCAGCCCTCTGTGACAGGCACTCTTGGGCTGCCTTGTGACGGGGTCAGGTGGGAGGAAGGAGGAGGGAGAGGTGCCCGAGGCTCAGGGCTGGCGGAGCTTCTTGACCTGCTGGCCCTCAGGGCCTCCCGAGCCCCGGTCAGGCAGCAGGGACTCTCCTCTGCTGCGCCCCTCCCCTGGGCGGGCTTTATCCCTTGGGGTGGCGGCTCTGCGGGGCATCCTGATGAGGAGTGCATTTGGGGTGGTAGCACGTGATGCAGAGGCCACCTGGCCTCAGCAGGGCCGTGTCCAGAGGGGTCCCTGGCGTCCCAGCCTGTGACCCTGGAAGGGAGGGAGACCCCAGAGTGCTGGCTCCCCAGCGGCTCCCCGAGACCCTCTGCCGCTGCTCACACGAGGACACAGACAGGACACAGCTGCTGTCTGAGGGCCAGGAGACCGTGTCACGTGCACGATGTGGTGCTGCCCTTTCTTCCTGGGCCCGTTCACTCTGCCGTCTTCCACCCAGTTGCCAGCAGGGGCTGCCCATCTGGTCCTCCACGCCCTCTCATCAAAGAGCTTCTCCCGCTTAGCGTTGTCAGGTCTAGATTTAGCGAGACCTCCTACTCGGGACTGCCCGGGGCGTTGCAGTGTCTGGCCTGATGGGAGCGGCGTCTTCCCCTGGACTCGGCCTCCTGAGGTAGGAGGAGCCCCTGCCACGGGCCAGGGTTTGTGCTGGCCCCGAGGCCACAGCAGTGACCCTGACCCGTGCAGCCCGCCCTCACATCATTGTAGACAGTGAAGTGGGGCAGCAGAAATCCACCGAGTTCATTTCTGTAGTGCGGCTTTGTTCTCCTGATGACAGAAACTCAATCCTGCCAGGTCTTTCTTGGCCACATCTGGTTTCTCCTGCTCATCCCCAGGGAGTGTCCGAAGGCCAGAGGTGCTGACTTTCCGCAGGGGTGTCAGTGGTGAGGGGTGTCTGGTCTCCCGTGGTCCTCAGCCTCATGCTGCTGTTGCCGGACCAATGGTGCGGCACTGCTGGGGTAGCCTGTCCCTGAGGTCAGCCTGGGGACCCCACGTCCGGTGGACAGCCTCTTGGCCACAGGGAGACAGCAGTCACCTGCGGCCGTTTCTCCCCCACACCTGGCGCCTGGTGAAATGCAGGGAGCTCTGGGGCCTTGGGCAGGGGCGGGGCGGGGGAGGTCAGGGCATGGAGCCCACTCGGGGCCAGCCCCTCCCTTGCATCTGCCAGCCCTGCGGCCTGCTCCCGGCCTGTGCCTCTAGGTGCGCTCCTAACAGAGCTGTGGCACTGGTGTGCTGCCGAGTCCTCGGGGGGTGACGCCGCTAAACCCTTTCCTTTTAAGCTGATGCTGCTCTGAGTTGTACAGGTCGGTTGAGAAACTCCAAAGCTACACGTTGCCACCATTTGTTCTCTGCTCAGCTGGGGTCCTTCACCCTGAGGTAGCAGCCACTTCATCTGCCCAATTAGTTTAAAGGAGAAAAAGTCATTGCAGAGGCAAAGATGCTGTGGTCAGGGCTTCAGAATGTGGCCCACCAAGCAAATGGAGAACACCACACTGTAATTACGGCGGGTGCCTCGAGGAGGCGGGTGCTGGGGGTGCTGGTGGAGCGGGGCCCAGGCAGCCCATGGCTGGCATGGGCCCGCCCAGCAGGCGTCTTAACTGAGACCTGGCTGGAAGAGGGGCGAGCCTTCCTGCCGAGGGAAGGCCGTGCAGAGGCCCTGGGGCAGGAGGGAGTTGCTGAGGAGTGCAGGAGGGAAGAAGGCCGCAGGACTGGAACCTGAAGAGGAGGGGGGTGGGAGGTGGAGCCTGGGCGCCAGGCGTGGAGGTGCTGCCTGCCCTGTGGCACGCTGCCGTGGGCACCTCTTGTCCTCACCATGCCGGGAAGGGAGGGGCACCTGGAACAGCTGAGGACGTAGGACAGGACCACAAGGCTTTATGATTTTCTTCTTGTCAAACAAGACACAGACAACTGACATGAAGGTGACTTTCTTCAGCGCTTGAGAAGTGTGTGTGTTGCTTCAGAGCCGTTTAGTGAACCACAGGAAAGGAAGGCCGCCTCCGGCTAGGAGAGCCCGGCTTGTCCTGCCCCGAGATGGGCGCCGCGTCAGCCTGGCCCCTCACCTTTCCCCCTGGCTGGCCTCGGACGCCTCAGCCCTTGTCCACAGTGGGGACTGACCCCTTTGGAAATGTTGAGGACACTGGGACCAGCGCCCCTGGGAGGAGCGTGGTCCTCCAGGTCAGCTGGGGGTTCAGGCAGAAAGACTCAGTGTAGTTTCTTCACTTTTCTGGGGCACAGTTTCCCAGTGGGGACCCACAAAGATGGCCATTTCTCGGCACTTGCTGTGTTCCAGATGCTGACGATCACCTCATGTGGCCTCACGACCACTTAACCGACGGGGCTGTGGGCTTGGTGGGGTCAGGTGTCCCGAGGGAGGGTGAGCCAGGTCAGTGGTGCCACCAGGGTGAGCCCAGGCAGCCGCCGTCTGGGGCTTCTGCTTGTGACCTTACACACGGCCCTGTCCTCCGACCCAGAATTCCCTGAGGGCTCAGGTCTCCATGGATGAGGCGGAGTCTGGGCCCAGCTGGGCCTCCCTCTGCAGGTGGGTGCTCAGGCAGGCAACTGCAGCAGACGCCAGGCACAGGTGCAGAGGCTCAGGCCAGAGCTGTGGAACAAGCTGAGGAAGGGGTGTGGGGAGGAGGGAAGCTCACTGATTCCCCTGTGGGCCAGGCAGAGAGACGTATGTGATGGGGATGAAGATGCTTCGTCAATACCCCTGTTGCCCTCGGTTTGCCAGTGTCCTCCCCTGCACACCTGCCATTCAGTGAAGCCCGAGTGCCATTGCCCCAAGGGAAGGTAGGGCAGGGGTCTGGGGCGAGGAAGAAGGAGACGGCCTGGTAAGTCCCCACTAGAGAGAAAGTGGCCTGCTGGTACTGGGTCCAGAGGCCACGGCCACGGCTAGAGTGAGGATGAGCCAGGTCCCTGGGAGGTGGACCCCCACCCCCTCAAAGTGGAGCCGTTGAGCAGATGAGGTAGGCCTCCAAGACCCTCCTCTCCCTCTGGCATGGAAAGGAAAGAATCCAGGAGTCCCTGGATGCCTGGGTGGGCGGGGTTGTGGAAGATGGATGAGGATGCTGACTGGGTGCTCAACAGGGGACCACCAAGGAGGGGCAAAGTGACCCTGGGGCCAAGGGCTGCAGGGGGCCGCTCAGTCTGCCTGGCCGCCAGCAGACCTTGTTACCCCTGTGTAGGGGGTGGCGGTGGAAGCAGGTAGGGCAGAGGCCCCTGGCCCGAAACGGGGTGACATGCCCAGTGCCCCATGCAGCAGCCGGCTCCTGGATCAGATGTCCCTCTGGCAGGGACAAAAACGAGGGAGGACCTCTGAGGAGCAGAGGGGCTATCAGCCCCTGCAGGGAGTGGGGACTTTGAACTGATTAAGGGCTTTTCGAAAGAGCCTGAGTTAGAGACCAAAGAAGACCATGTCAAGTGGAAAGAAACTGAGTTAGTTTTAATTGGCAATTAAAAAAAGAAATAGTGATGTTACAGTTAATAGTGAACACTTACCCACACATCTGAGTTCTCGTCTGTATATGTACATGTTTAGTCATCCCCGGGAGGCCAGGGCTCAGAAAGGGTCACTGACAAGCCCAGGCCACCCAGCCAGCACGGCTGGGGTCCAGGAGGCAGCCTGCAGTGGGGGGGACTTGGAACAGCTGGAGAGTGGGGCCTGCCTGGCCACCTGCCTGAGCCCGTTTCCAGAGTTGGTTGCAGGAAAGAGGGACGTTGATTCCAGGACGTTGTGGCTTGGTGGAGGAAGCTGACTGGCCCTGTGAAACAAGGTGGTGGGCTCTGAGGCGGGAGCCCCCACTGGGGGAGGAGGGCTGGGCTCTGGAAACTCCCATGGGCAACAGGGGCACTTGTCCTGGT